CAATTACCTTATCCACCATAACCATCACTCTTCTTCTCGTAAGTATCTTGAATTTCGTTGTGTCTTTCAAGAAATTCTCAGAGTATTTGCGTAATTTACGAGCTAGGGGATTTAATAAAACAGGATTTTACTGATACCTTAGAATCTAGTGGATTTTTGTTGTTGTTTTGATTCAACAGTGTTTTAGGGAGTTTCTTGTGGAAAAGCTTGATGGGTTTTGTTTGGTTTATTTCCTGAAACATGTTTGTGGGTTCTTGGATTTTGAGTTGGAAGATTCACATAAACAATAGTCTTTAGTTACTTCAGAATCTTTAAGAGTTTATGTTATGTTTTAAACAGTTGATTGGTTCTTTTCTGAATTCGATTTTGGGGTTTTGTTTATTAGTTCCCTGACACATGTTTTTGGTTATTGTGGGTTTGAGTTGCAGTGTTGAGTGGGAAGGTGGAACCTGAACCCACAAGGTGCAGGAGAACAGATGGGAAGAAATGGAGGTGTAGAAACACGGTTCTTCCGCAGCAGAAGTACTGTGAACGGCACATGAATAGAGGCCGTAAACGTTCAAGAAAGCTTGTGGAATCTTCTTCTCATGATGTTGCTTTGTCTTCTGCTTCATCAACCAAACATGACAGCACTTATGGTTTGGACAGTAATAATGAGAGTGAGAGTGTTCTTCCAGGGACAATGCCGGTTTCTAGTAATGCTCAGGTAGTTACAATTGCTTCATTGCCTAGTGCCCAACCCTTTGATAATGTCACTCGTCCGTCTTTAGCGATCTCCGAGTCCACAAACAAAAGTGTGAGTCACGGCAATAGGAGGAGAAAGTACATGGAAATGAGTTATGATGACTTCATTAAACAAAGAGATTCGAGTACTTCTGTTCGAGCTGTTCCAGTTCAAGGTATTATGATAACAGTCTCACAACAGAATTCATTTCTTCACTGTTCCATGGATTGACCAGGTTCTGTTTTTTCATTACCAGGTGGTGAGAGCTTACCTTCTGTTCAAAGGTTCTTTCCCGAGGTATCTGATGTTTCCGTAGAAGCTGCAAAATTCTCAAGCAACAGAAAGAACGATATAATTGCAAGAAGCAGAGAATGGAAGGATTTGAATGTTAATCGTGGCTTGTTTCCCGGTATCCACTTTTCTCCAGACACTGTTCTTCAAGGTAATACCTATACCCTCGGTTTATTAAGATTTCAAGCTTACCGATGATGTTAACAGAGTTGCTTCTTTGTTGTAGATCGTGGTGGGTTTCGTTTACATAGATTTGAATCAGACAAAGAACCAGGAAGGTGCCGAAGAACAGATGGGAAGAAGTGGAGATGCAGCAAAGATACTTTGTCTGGTCAGAAATACTGCGATACGCACATGCATAGAGGTAGTATCAAGAGGAAGCATCCAGTGGATACTAACCCACATGAGAATGCCGGTTTTAATCCGTTTATCGTGAAAACAGCTGCTAGATCTGTGTTTTGCAAAGATGGAGATGGCCAGAAGCACTCTGTTTCAGTCATGGGAGTTCCGCTGTCCCGAGTTTCTGATGAGAAGAGCACTAATAGTTGCAGTACCGACACCACCATTACTGATACAGCTTTAAGGGGTGAAGAAGACAATGAGGAGTACTTGTCATTGTGTTCTTCAGGTGTTTAGAAGCGTAGAAATGTTGTTTTTAGGTTCTAATGTTTTCATGTTTTTAGTTTCTATCTATGTATCCTTCCGAAGTCGTCAAATCAAAGAAAAATATCGAGCACACAATTTAGTTAAGATATATTGTGCTGAAATGAGATAATGTAACATGGAATATGTTCTCTCTTAACTTCAAAGACTTTTGTTCCAATAACATTAGATTACATATAAGTTACATATCCTGAGATTGGGAGAATATCATCAATTGAGACACATACCTTTTGGATCTGCGTTCTTAACTATCCATGGATGTTCCATGATCTTCTGAATAGAGAGTCGTTTCGAAGGATCCTTAACAAGAAGCTGCAAAAGATTATAAACAATTATAAACCAACTATATAACTAAACCAGCAAGAAGAGTCCTTGTGCGTTATGCTTTAGCTTGGGTTTACCTGACTGATAAGATTATTGGCTTCTTCTGAAACATTTGGCGTAGGAGGAAAACTCAGATCGATCTTAACAATTCTATACCATTAGAATTAAAAAAATCATCAGTAACTAAGCTTTAAGTTTCTTGTGTAATTTCCCACAAAAGTTTTAAAAAGTCTAGTCTTTTCTTTACCTCTTGAATGTATCCTTTTGATTCTCGGCTTCGAATGGAGGGTTACCGTAGAGAAACTCGTAACACAGTATGCCTAAAGTCCAGTTATCAACTGCATAATCATGATCTTTGTTTTCAACCATCTCAGGTGCTAAGTAATCTAAGGTTCCACACATTGTTTTCCTCTTGTTACTTGATTGTACTGACCACCCAAAGTCAGCGATTTTCAACCTTCCCTGCATATATATGACAATACAAATGACGAAATTCCCGAGTTTTCGATGTGCAAACCATAACCATACATACTAACATACCTCATGATCGAGCAACAAGTTTTCAGGTTTGATGTCTCTGTGAATCACACATTTCCCATGACAATAGGCCAGTGCCTGACTAAGACTTGAAATGTACTGAAAATCGAGTAAAATCGTTAAGATAAAAGCCATTGATTTCTCCACAAGAAGCATACACAATATTACATTGCAACCAAACCATTCAGGCAAAATTGAGATTAAGGGAGAGAGAGACTCACTGTTGCTGCTGCTTGTTCCGTAAGATGACCATTCTTTCTAAGCAAACCATAGAGCTCACCACCATAAGCATACTCAAGAATCAAGAAAATCCTCTCATCGTCATCGAACCAACCATAGAGACGCAGTATATTCGGATGCCTTAAACTCGTTTGAATCTCCATTTCTCTCCTAAGCTGATGTTGAATTTTATACTTCTCAATCTGTTCCTTGAATATCACTTTCAACGCCACCACGAATTTACTCTAACCATAGAAACAGTGAGATTCATAAATTACTCAAGACGATTCCAGAGGAAAATTTCGACGAAATCGATTGGTTTTGAACAAGCGATAAAGAGTGAAGAGAGAAACGAAGTACCTTGACTTCTCGAGCGAGATAGACTCTACCGAATTTGCCTTTACCAAGTGGTCTCCCGATCTCGAAATCGGCTATAGACCATGGCTTGTTAGGATCTCGAGGGTAAGATACCGGCTTGTTAGGATCTTGAGCGTAAGATTCCGGCGAAATATTTTCCATTTTTTCCGATCACCGTACTGTGTTAACGACGAATTCGAC